TTTTTCTCCCCACCCAACTTTTCTCATATAGATACAGAGTGAAACTATTATTCAGCTGCCCAACAACAATATAAAAAGACCAATGCTTCCATTTATGCATCTACTTTTATGATGTCAATTACTCACAAGAAGAACAAAGATAAGTTTACATAAAATAGTAGCAGATAGTATTTCTATAATGTATTACATTTCTCTGTCATACATTATGCTTTATTTTCTGTCCTTTATTACATTTTCTTACTTAGTATGAACAATATTTTAATCCTTTATCATTTACCCGAAGCAGGTATGACCCTGTTTCCCCATAGATAGTTTTTTTAAGGTGTTTTCAGTAAATATTGCTTATGAATGGCTTTAAACAGCTTAAGGACTTCCATTTAGAAAAAAATCAAGGTTAATAAGATTCATCATACTCACAAACAGTATCTGGTTGTGGATATAGCTAATTGCTAAATTTTATTCAGCCCTAAGTGACACCAGCAGCAAATCACCTCACAGCTTAATACTACTGGCAGCTCTAAATGGGAGAGAAATAATGTTACTCGGATCCAGGTTTTTAAAAATATATGTTATGATTCACTTCCATTAGTTCAGATATTCATGCTCAGACACTGGATATTGGATTCTCTTTCAAACAACAAAAGAAGCTGAGAAACAAAGCTGAAGATATTTTTTAAATGTCATGGTAAAAAGTCACAGTGAAGTGTATTTTATCCTTGTTTCAGTGAATGTTTCTAACTCTCACATGAAAGATACAGTAAATTCCTATCAGAAAGATTTTCTCTTGGCAAAGTTTAGAATTCTGAAAATAGCCTTTTAATAAAACAGAACCCACACCCTCCTAAGCTGTAGCACCAAAATAACAGCACTATGATATATTCTTCCCTTATGGTAACAGACACTGTTGAAGCTGAACTGTAATTTGGCATACAACATCTCTATACTAATGTAATCTGACAATGTTATTATGCTCGCTATTTTCCATGTGGTCATAGCCATATTCATCTTCTCCAACCTGACATTAAGTTAGCTTAATATGGTTACATTCTATTCTGGACCACCAGGTGAAAGCAGAAAAAGATTATTGTGTAGCACACTGGTATGATGATGGTGGAGGAATATGTAAGCATTAATAGGTGATATATAAAATTTATAATGAACGTAAACTTTTAGCACAGAACTGGCACATAGTAAGTGCTCTGCAAATGGTTACATCCAAGAGAAATTTCATAAATAGCTACACCATACAATGTAGTGTAGCACACTATTCCCTATAATTTCAGAAGACAGAAAAATAATGACAAGCTCAGAAAACAAAGGAAGTTTCCATGGGACAAAAGAGTTTTAGTAGAGATTGAAAAGGAAATTATATTTCTTCAAGCAGACATAGTGAAAGAATGTATTCCAGGTAGAATGAACGCATTTTCCAGGTGGAGAAATTACCATAAGCAATGGTGAGGAAATTGGAAAGTGTAATGTTGTTTAGAAAGCTGTGAATAAGTAAATTGGCAGTAATATGCCATATGGACAAGGTTCTGCAATAGATGAGTATGAACATGAAGGCTAGGGTCAGACCATTGAGGTCCATGAATTCCACATTGACTAACTTGGAGAGTGGTATTGGACACTGAGGATATACTTGAAATTATTCTGCAAGATTCATGTATCTAGCACATTTTGATTTAGTGAGTTATTACAATTACGTGCAGCATGCTATAAAAAACACTGGGCTTATAAACCAAGAAAACAAAGAAGAATATTATTCCTAGTAGAAGTGTACAGTCTTATAGGGAGATAAGACTAAACACAAGTAACTATAAGGAAAAAATGATGGCCAATCAAATAGCATAAACAAAATTCTATGGGAAGCCAGAGGAGAAAAAAAAAAGTATTGCCTCTGGATAGGAGAATTAGAAGAGAATGATGACATTTAATCTAGGAGTAATAGGAAGAAAGAACAAAACTGGCAGAGAGGCACAGAATGGATCAGCGGAAAGAGGACTAAGAAATGGGAGATAGCTAAGAAATTACATTATGTATCAGAAAAATTACACAGAGGATCTAAAATTTGGTATTGGTATGGAAGAAAACTTGAGGAGGTGAGTATATGACATTACCCTACACACACACATGCAAATCCACATACACACATGCACAGAACAATTGTTTTGTCAATGAGTAGGTCACTTAGACAGCAATTTTCCAGGGAAGAAAGGGTTTCACAAACACATTTCTTTAAAAGCAGCCTTTGGCATTATTTTGAATAGCACTTCTTTCTGAAAGATTCCTTTCAGTTCAATTAATTAGTATGATTTATCCAAGATTACATTTACAAGCTATAAAGTATTCCCATCTTCCCATTGTTAATTATATCTCCAGGCTAATATAAATAAATTTTTCTAGTTACCCTAACCCACTCTATGAAACCTATCAGCAAGATGACATTTAGAAATTCTATTTTTGGGGAGGGAAGGTCTCATTTGTAATGTAGAATGTTCGTTCACCCATTAAAAAGTTTTGTTTCTATTTTCTTTTTTGATTTCTATGTAATTGGAGGCTGCAGTCACAGAATTTATGAATACACAACTAACCTAGAGATGAAAATTTCATTAAGAAATGAAATGCCTTAAACGGCTTTATTTTAAAAGAAAAATCACTTTCTTTAAGGATTTTTAAGGAGTTTGTTAAAATCCCGGGAATCACACTAATTTTATTTGTGCATCTTATAGAAAAACAGTGAGATGTAGAGACAAGATTTATTTTGATCCATTTAAAAAGTGAGGAAAGTGTTGCATGCTATTTCTACTGCTTATTAATTCCACATCTTCAAAGTAACAATTGCTACTATATCTTCTACCAATTATAATTGATACAAAATAAGATTTGCTTTAAAATATTGATTTATGTCTATGTATTCTCACCACTGAAATTCCAATGTATAAGCCAAGGAACCATTTCACATTTTCAGAAAACCCACTAAGAGGTAATGATTTAATCAAAATGCATGTATTCTGAGAGCTCGCTAAAGTAATTTTAATGCTGATTTGTGCAAGAGGCATATCAGGAGACACATTTATTGAATGACATTTACCTATTTACAAGAAAATAACAAATAGCCTTATCATTGTCGTCACCAGTACTATCACCCAAGAGCAGCATTAAAATAGTTTTCTGTAAAAATGATTCGAAGACAGCATGATACTTAAGGTTGTATCTTGATGTTTCTTTAGGAAAAGTCTAACAAATACATACATAAAATTATACTCTTTATATTTAACTGGTATATGAGGATACACAGTCTGCCACAACCAAATGGCAACTGTTTTGTAAAACATGGAAACTAGATTAAGCATAGTTTGGCAGAAAAAGTTCTTTAGCAACATGAAAAATATTTTCACACCAAAAAAATCCCTCTCAACTACCACATGTAGTCATACATCTGTCAGGATCGTATTCAGGATGAAAAATTTGTGATAATAAAATCTTAACAAATATTCAGTCTTCTGATTGTCGTTGAAAATAAATTTACGCCATTTTCTGTGAAGCAGGAACAAATGCAGGAAGTAATTTGTCTATAGACATATATACATATCCTTATGAAAAGCACATGTAAGGTTGCTTTATGTATATATATTTATTCAGACTTTATGTAAAGTTGTTTATATAACCCAAAATGGCGTTGTTGTGTTTTAAGTGTGATTTGGCTTGCAGAAACACAGTGTTCGCAAATGTATGATGGTTTGAATACATGTTTATTGCTTCAGGTTTACTGTAATTCTATGGGAGATGAAACTAGTAAAATAAAGAACAAATACTTCTCCATCTACAGTGGCATGGTTGTTAAAGGCCTCTTCTACATAAATTTTTACTCTGTATTGGTTGTGTGTTTTTCCTATAGTCAATATGTTGGAACGGAAATTTGAAGACAGCAGGTAAATTGTACTTTATTGCTAGGCTGCAACAACTCAGTTCAGTGGATTACTGGAGGTTGACCCCATCTTCTACATTGTGATGCACATATCTGTTGACATGAATACAGTCTCAGATAGACAAAGGTCAAAATGAACAAGCTCTACTCTTTCTTTAAATCCACATTCAAATTCAGCCTCTGCTGCAAAATCCAAACCTTCAATCATTACATCTTCTATTCCATCATCCTGGAGCTTTAGCTTAAATGTTCTAGCACTGACAACATATAGCACGTATTCTATTCTACAACCAGGTGAATTTGTCAGGAATATTCTCTTAATATAGCAGAATGTGATGTTTTGTATGAAATTCTTTTATCATTTTGATGATGTGCTATAAATCAGGACCTATTTGAACATTAAGATACAGAACTTCATCTTATAGATCAGTTAACTCCATCTTCAAACCCTCACTGCTGTGATATAAATTAGGCACTAGCAGATATGCCATGATATAATGTGAATGTTGTGTTTCATTTTCATGCTTATATTGCAATACTCAGTTAAAGGATTTTTAAGGAGAAAAACATAAGCTGCTAAGATATAAGGGAGAATGCCTGAAGGATAATGTTTGAACGTATTTTTTTAAAAGTAAAAGGCAGCAATGGGCTTAAAGAGATGTACACAGAGTGAAAAATTAGACCTGTAACCATTCACTAAAATTACAGCCCTCAAGACATAATCATATGAAATTAAGTATTATTTAATATAAAACAATATGAAGATTCTTTCAAAAACTGAGAGAATTGTCATATATTGGAAATGAAAAACATTATTTTGAACAAGGTGATCATTAGTAATTAAAAAATAAATAAATAAACCCAAAAACCAAAGAATCACCATCATCACAGGATTTAGCCACTTTAACAATTATTTCAAAACTGTTCTTTCTGTAGAAACAACTGCTTCTATGGGTTATGACAGTTTGACTGACTCAGAGTTAATATAAGGACTTTCGATGTTAGACTTTAGATATCAAACAGTAACTGGAAGCAACGGTGAGTATCAGTCCATAATCAGAGAGGTACTTACGGTCATTGCAGAGTGGTCCACTGAAGGAAGTCATACTACAGTCACAGCTGAAGCCATCCCATTGTTGCAAGCACACACCTTGATTGGAACATGAGTCCTCTTGGCAGGTTGTGCTGGGGCCTGCAAAACAATCCAAAGGAAACTTGGGTTCTTAAAAAAAATCCAAAAGTGTTTTATACATGAGCTAGATCACATATAGTAGTTGCCAACACCTCAGATGATATGTCCAAACTCGTTTTGAAAGTTCTAGTTCACACACCTGAATTAGGAACTGAGAGGCTGTAATATGAAGGTTTTCTTAAGTTTCAAGTATAGGATAAAATACATTATAATCATAAACTAAACCAACAAATAGCAAAAGCAAGCACATAGCTTCTAGTATGATTATCGTAGCAGGTAATCTCATTCCAACTTCAATAATTCTTTATTACCATTTGGATTTTAGAAAATGAATGGATCTCCTTAACATTCTGACCAATGAATAGAGACATAATGAGAAATGGAGATTATAACTTCATGAAATTGAGATAAGATTGGCAAAATAACTGAAGAGAGTTATGCAAAAATGCCCTAGAGGTTTCAGAAGGATAAAGTTATGATTGCTGGGTGTTTTGAATAGGTATGTTGGCAAGTATCAATTCACATGCTTTAACAATTTCATGCAATAAAACATAAAATTAAAAACTCCATATAAATGACATGCCTCCATTTAACATACAAGTAAAAAGAATGCTAGTCTATTTCTAAAGAATCATAACTAGAACACTGAAAAACAAAGAACTGAAAAAAGCATGATCAAAGCACTAAAGGCAATCACTATACAAACATATTCAAGACTGAAAGCCTTTATACAAACTATACTACAAAGGCTTCTTGCACAACGTTCAAGAAAGGAAAAAAATGAAATCCAAACCCAAATAACAGTTACTGCAAAAATGTAAAATATGTTATTTTAGGGTTTCCACTGTGTATTATGGGGTTTCAGTCTTGTTTTATACACACAGGGCTATCTACCTTGCAAGTCAGCTTTCATCAATGCAACTTTGTCAGCAAAATTAAAAAAAGCAAAATATATTAAATGTTAGTAAGCAATACTGAAATGGGGCAAACACAGAAGAACGTTCAGATTCAAAAGGCATGCTGCTGTAAAGGGGGAGAAAAATGCTATGTAGAGCAAACAAATTAATACTAACAGCCATAAATCTTAAGAGAAGCCAAAAATGAGAAAGCGGTAATTTATTAGAATTTAATTGTACATATGTATACATATATAATGGTTAATTGAGCCAATGACATGTAATGAAGGAAAATTAAAAGGGCCTTTGTATGTTTCCTCTCTTGGATAGATATGAATGCATTACCAAAGTGACGTTTTGCTTATTTGGAACATGCAGCACCATTCATCATGTGCAGATACAGTGTAGACTATGATCATTAGCAGAGCAATTATCCCTTTCTATGTTTTTCCCTCTAGATCTTTTATCTTGCTGTTGCAATTAAGGCTTCAAACTGTAAAGCCAGCCATTCACTGACAACAGCTGGACTTTAGAGTGACACCAACCAAATACTGCATAAATGATACTGTATATCATTTAGAGTGGATGAAAGAAGTAGGAAGAATGGAAGAAACAAACTGCAATATAATCCCTCATAAAGGAATTTTCCTAATAAAATTTCCATGTGCAGCGTTTATCCTTGAACTTACTAGATTGGGAATATGCCACTTACGAATTTTAGAGTTACGTCTGTATTTTCTACACTTTCACAACTGTCTTCAATTCTTATAAACTTCCCTGTGAATAACTGTTACAGTAAAACCTCACCAATAGGAACTATCTTAGAGAAGGGTGAAAAGGGAATACAGTCTACCTAAATAGCTTTAGAGTATAAACTAAATATATTTTCTAGTAAATAAACACACAGATTTTATAAAGATAGAAAAACAGACATCAGCTAATTAGATTCTATTAATATAAAAGAGACAGCCTCTGAAGTGCCTGTTTCAGTGAATAAATGAGAATTTTCTGTAATTTTACTTTATATAAACAGATGATTTTGAAAATGGCTTCTAAACAGTTACATGTACCTTATCATCACATTTCCATTACAAATTTTTCAGTAAAGGCATTCTTTACTGAATGTTATTGAATTTAGCCTAGCATATAAGAATTCACAAATTCAGAAACCATAATATTGTATATCTTAATTCTACAATAATAATAACAGCAATAGGTATAACAATAATAAAAACAAAAATAGTATTTTATGTAAGTAGTAATAATAATAAGACCTCCCAAGTCCAGGAAACCTGAAGAAATGTAACAGTTTTTTTTTTTTTTTTTTTTTAACTTAGTCCTTTTTTTTTTTTTTTTTTTTTGCGACGCAGTCTCGCTCTGTCGCCCAGGCTGGCGTGTAGTGGCGCGATCTCGGCTCGCTGCAAGCTCCGCCTCCCGGGTTCACGTCATTCTCCTGCCTCAGCCTCCTGCGTAGCTGGGACTACAGGGGCCCGCCACCGCGCCCGGCTAATTTTTTTTTGTATTTTTTAGTAGAGAAGGGGTTTCACCGTGTTAGCCAGGATAATCTCTATCTCCTGACCTCGTGATCCACCCGCCTCGGCCTCCCAAAATGCTGGGATTACAGCGTGAACACCGCGCCCGGCCAGTTCTTTGTAACAAAGTTCTTTGTAAGAAAGAACTAAGAACCACTAAACTCAACTTAGTTCTTTGTAGTAAAGAAATAAGAACCACTTAATTGCTCAGTATTAATTTTTGTTCCAAACTGTGAGAGGTAAGTGGTCTACTGATCTTTATCCCATGGCATTATAGATAAAAAATAATTAGCATATTAAAAAAAAATCTCAAAGCAATATTCCTTAGCATAGTTCTTCCAGTGTTAAGCAAATAAACAGGGAATAACACAAGCCCAGTTTGGGGAGATGCCATTTTATCAAATAGCTATTTGCTGTCTGACCTGCACAGCAGAAGATCAGAAGCAAGAACTAATTAAGATCCAGATTTTTGTTTTTGTTTTTTTCAAAAATTATCAGAAATGCAATTGAGAAACAACGCTAAACTCTAAAACTAGTAAAACTACATTCTTAGAAAAATAATCTGCCCATATTGGAGAGCAGCAACTCAGAGCACCTGCCAAGCTTCTATGTAAGCATACAAACATGCTTTATTTTATTTTCATTATCACAATAGTTTTTTATATTCAAGAATTACAAGACAATGCATGCGTGTGCCTGACAAGACACATTTTTCAAAGTACTCACCTTCTAGAACAATATTTAAACATTAATAGGCATTACACAAGGCAGAGCCTTAAATTTATTTTTCTTTTTAGTTATGTATTATTCTTTTTATTTTATCACTGAATAAAATTGGGAAAAAGCAACAAGGACATTTGTATCAAGTTATTTAAATTAATAATATGTCTAAAAGGGAAATAAAAATGAAGGTAAAACTACAATTTCCAGAAACCAAAGAATAATAGACAAAAGAGGTTAGGTGTCTCTGCTTTCAAGTAAGGTAAACTCGGGTTTGAAACTTGTATCATCTACTTATTAGGTGTGTGAATGTAGGAATGTCACCTTACTTTTCTGAGGCTCAACCTACTCATTAAAAAAAAGGTAATGATACCTAATTTATAGAGATTTGATGATTAAATGAGATAGTATAGGTAAACATATTCTCACCAGTGTTTTATCAATGATAGCTGTCATAATTAAACAGAAAATTATTCCTATATATATAATGGAGCCTAGAGCTGAATGTCACAGTTGTATAAAAAGAGCATCTGTTAAAATTTCACTGATTTTATGTAGAGATGTTATCTTGACTTTAGTGGGCCTGCTTATTGGTTGATTACCAGTATCCATTTTCTGTTATATAAACAGAAAAAAAGCATCCAAAGTATAGTCTCCAGTAAAACAGCATCAGCATCACTTGGGAATTTGTTAGAAATGGAAATTCTAGGGCTCAGTCTCAGATCTACTAAATTAGAAACCCAGAGGGTTGTAATCTCGTGATTTGGGTTTTAATGATTCTGTAAGTGATTCCTGATATAGGCTAACATTCAGGAAACAATAATCTAAATAGACTTTGACAGGTTAAAATCTGTACTCTAGCTAAGGTGCATTTTATAAATAAAATGAATTATTACCCACTGAAATATGTTAGAAATAAAAGGCAAAAAATGATTATTAAGGGAAGATCAAAAACTTTTTGCATGCAGAGGCTTAGAGATGTGTCGGTGTATTAGGTAGGAACAATGGAAAATCCTCACAAGATATTATTAGGTTATACCAAACATATGCTAAGTAGTCCCATCAATATGGATATGGAAGTTAAGTGATTCCAATGTGGTTTAGACTCAAATTCCATGAGATAACAATCTTTAGAAAGAGAATTTGTTAGGTATCTACAGTTAAATCACTAATCTTAAAAAATGTGTGAATAGCATCAACTGTACCTATAACAGTTAAATCTAAGATTTTTCCTAGAAACTATACAGGTCAGAAATAATAGTAAATTAAAAGTTGTTCACCTTGATGTTGGAATGAAAGAATCAGGACAGAAAGTAATAATCTAAGAATAAAGAAAAAATGGGGTATCGGGGGTGAAAATTATAAAAGCTCAGATACATAAAGCATTCTAGATAAGGAAAGAACCAATGCCATTAGTGACTGAGTTCAGATGTTCAAATAAGAGTTTAATGTGTAATTAATCATCTTAACCAAATTTCTTACTAGATTATATGGGTAGACAACACCAAACATCATTACTGCAAATGCCCTTTGTTAGTAGATCTTGCTCGTATTAATCTACTTGCTTCCGCCCACTCACTCACATTATATACCAGTGGTGGGGTCCTGTGTGTTTGCCTCTTGTTTTCTATCTCATTGGGTATATCTGTCTGCTGTCACCATTTCTTGTAGGTGAGAAGTCACATACCAAGCAACTTGTAGAAAGGCCTATTTTTAACAAATATTTTCCATAAGGGATTGTAATACTTTTCTTTAAAAAATGAAACAAAATAAATGTACACATTCTCACTAATGAGATCACCTCCAAGAATTATGTCGTCCCACATTCTTGTGTTCATCCACTAATGGGAATTGATCCCCTTAACAATTTTGTTTCTCTTAATTAAAATTAACTAAAAAGAAAAAAACATAGTTTCCTTATGTTTTACAAATGCATTATGCCAAAATATCAAATAAAGAAATATACTAATAACATTAAAAATGAACTCAACAACACCTTCCATTAATAACCTTATCCTCTGGTATTATTGAAATACAGTCTGAATTTCACCTAACATTTCATGGAAACATATGCGGCACAGAGGAAACAAATGTATTTTCAAATATAAAATTTCCATGTACTTTAGTAATTGCTAAATATAATGGCATTATTTTGGCTGAGAATAAATGATTCATAATCAGCTGGGGGACAGGAATTCAAATTTCTTTCTTCTTCTCCCATATAAAATCTCCTCATAAATGTAAAATTTTCAAAATGGCCCAAACTGTGTTCAGTATTACAGAAGCAGCAGCAACACATCCAGAGCCACAAAATTCATGATAATGTGATTAAATTACATTTATGGAGGAAGAATTTGCTCAAATAATCTGAGGTGTTGAAGTGAAAATTATCTAAAATGAAAGTAGCAATCAAAAAGTATCCTACAGATCTTGGTCTGATAGAGAGCACAAAAGAAAAGAAGACACTTTGGTGTATTTCTGATGTATGAATATTAGCTTGGGGTTAATATTCAAGAAACCTGTTTTTGCTAAAATAAACTGAAAATATACAGGATACACTGTTTCTGCCAGGTACACACCAATTGAATAGTGATTTGAGAATGGGGTATCTGAACTTTATTCTCTTATTATTTGCTATTGGATATAGATTTTTACTTATTTTTATTTTAAAATATTTGTTAATTTCAGTAGCTTTAGGTGTACAAGTGGTTTTTGGTTACATGGATGAACTGTATAGTCGTGAAGTCTAACACTTCAGTGAACCTGTCACTCAAGTCTTGTACATTGTACCCAATAGGTAGTTTTTCATCATTTAATCCCCTTCCCACCATTCCAGCTTCTGAGTCTCCAATGTCCCTTATACCATGCTGTATGCTTTTGTGTACCCATAGTGCAGCTCCTACTTACAAGTGAGTAACATGAAGCATTTGGTTTTCTATTCCTGAGTCACCTTACTTAGAATATTGGCCTCCAGTTCCATCCAAGTTGCTACAAAAAATATTATTTTGTTCTTTTTATGGCTGAGTAGTATTCCATGGTATATACATACCACATTTTCTTCATCCACTCATTGGCTTATGGGCACTTAGGTAGATTCCATATATCTGTAATTGTGCATTGTGCAGTGATAAATACATGTTTGCAGATGTCTTTCTGACATAGTGACTTCTCATTATCCTTAGCAAACTAATGCAGGAATAGAAAGCCAAATACTGCTTGTTCTCACCTATAAGTGAGAGCTAAATGATGAGAATACATGAACACATAGAGGGGATCAACAGATACTGGGGCCTACTGGAGGGTGGAGAGTGAGAGGATGGAGAGGATCAGGAAAAATAACTCATGGGTACCAGGCTTAATACTTAAATAGCAAAATCATCTGTACAACAAACCCCCATGACACAAGTTTACCTACATAACAAACCTGCACATGTACCCCCTGGACTTAAAATTAAAACAAAAAAACAATGTAGATTTTTAAAAATGGGCACAAGTTGATTAATACTTGCTGGTGTAGTATTTGTTTAATGCTATAAAGCAAGGATCGTAGAACTGATTAACAAACTAATCAAATGTACTACAAAACTCAAAAGAGCAAAAAAAAAAAAAAAGATCCATAGGTATAGTTCCCATTTTACATTGGGCATTAATGTAGGCTTGCAAACTGTACAGAAAATTTACGGTTTATGAGATAAAAAATTGAAAACATGAATAAGGATGTCTAAGCCCAAATTGGGTATTTGACCAATTATGATCATTTTACTGGAGAGTGAGATTCATTCTCAGTTAAACAGGTGGAATTAGAATTATTTAGGGCACGATGACAAAAATCTAATACCTTCACATCCTCTCTCGATCTGTCCATTGCAGAAAAGAGCATCTGAGATGAGGTCCGGAAGCCGTCCATTTAAATCAACTGATGCCAGGCAGCCTTGAAAGCCTTCTTTGGCATGTACAAGTTTTGGTAAGGATTTGTATGTTTCTTTCGCTACTCCTCCTATATATAAGTCACCTGCAAGAAGATCAAAGTCTTTGTTACAAAAGTACCATGTCATTGACTTTAAACACACAGTAGGATGGAGAAAAAACAGGGAGGTTTTCCATTAAGTTAATAAAAATGTAAATTTATGACTAGCTGTTTTCCCCGAAGTGTTAAACAACAGAGGTGTTTGAATAATATACTGGCACTAGGAGACATTTCTAAAAGCTATTTCTATAGAGAACTAAAGTAATTCCATATTATGTGGCCAAATGGAAGGAATGTGGGCTAGCTATAGAGATGCATACCCCTGCATTGAAATCCAGGCCTGGTTACTTGCAAGCCCTACATCCTTGAAAATATATATATATAGTGTGTGTATATATATATACACACACACACACACACATAAATATATATACACACACACATATTAGTTTCTCTAATTATTAGTATCATTGTTTCTAAAATAGGAACAATAAAAACCTTCACCAGAGGGTTTCATGATGATTAAATGAGATGAAATATATACAGCATCCACCAGAGCAAAAGTATGTAGTGGATACACAGTCAACAGGGATTATTATTAAATTCACCTTCTGCTTAGAGATCTCTGTGTCTTTCATTTTATCAGAAGTTCAACAAATTTCTTCTTATATCTAAAGTCACCTTCTATACTGGGCTGAAGCCCGCTATCCTTGCTTGCACCTCTCTTGTTCAATAACTCACATAATAGTCTGTATATAAGTGAAAGTTACATCCTTCTTCAGGTGTTTCTGTTTTTAGGTAAAATTACACTACTTTGAATTTTTAGGCTGCTCTGAAATCCGTTAACAAGTTTTTAACTTATTTTTCTAATTTTATTGCAGTTTCTAATGGAACACATGGCTTAGCTTTGCCAACTTTTTGTCTCTAAGTTTGAGATTCCCCAACTTTATGAACTATTACCAAAAAATAAATAAATAAATAAAAAGAGAGAGATTTAAATCTATGTTGGATTCTGTTTCTTTTTCTATTTCAGATTATTCACCATATCTGGATAATATTCAATAAATGTAATTAACTGACTTTAGTAAACATTTAATCAACGTGGAACATAAGGAAGCTGAGCTCAAAATTCAGTAATATGCTGCTACAGCTCCAGTCTACAAGTTATGTAACATAATCTTTGTAGCTATTTCTTTAACTTTCATTTTCTTTTGAACATTCTTTCTCATGTTAACCATTCTATTCAACTTCATGTCACTTGGCACATTTTCCCCAGTATAACACAAAAATCCTGCAATCTTACTGTTCACCTGTGTCCTTCTGTGTTGACTTCATGAGACTTGGGAACAAGGAGAACTGATACACAGGCTATTTGTTGAGCTGTAAGTAACAAATTCCTTGGTCTCGCATCCAGAAATATCCTGTCTTCTGCAGGCATCCATTAAACAGTAACAAGCTAACCTATTAGTTTGTAAGTAGGGTAAAATCAAACCACAGATACAACACTCTTAAACTGTACTGATGAATAAATTGAAATAGAGGGATCATGTGGCATACTCAAAGTCATTTAATGTTTACAAACTGAGAACTTAGGTCCTTGACCTAGTAACTAAAACTTAAGTTTTATAACTATATAATTTGCACTGAAAGTATTGGATGTATTTACTTCCCCTCCTTTTACATAAAGCAAAATCTACCGACTATTAACCATCATCCTTAATATTAAAAGACAGCATGGTTTTGGTTGGAGAGGGGATACTATTTTTGAAGTGTTATTTGATTTTTCCTTCCATATTTCCATTCTGTCCTTTGTTTTTGCTCTCACTTAAATTTCAAGCCATTGTGTTTTAGTTGCCTCAGAGAAAGGATATGAATCAGAAATCAAAGATACAAAATTAGCTTTCTGTATTTAAGTCTAAAGAACCTAGACTCTTCGAGGAATGGAAGAGAATACATTGGAGTTTGCATAAGAAAAGTAAAGCTTTCCTACTCCTCATTCAGGCAAGCAGGAGATGAAGTTGGAAGAACCTACTTGTGCAAGCACAGCCATTGGCAAATGCCAAAGAGGGTGCTGATTTCTAATTTAAGGACTGAGCTCTGGTGAATCTCAAAACCTCTGGTAAGTTTCAAAGAGTAATGCAAACCTCTGTGCATTTCCTCAGGAGAACTAAGAGGGAGCAGTGAGATCTCTGAAAAGAAATGGCTACATGGTGAACTTAGGTAACCTGAGAGCTTAGACAGTCTCGCAGAACATTCCGTACTCCTCTGTGCCATGGGAGACATAGAACAATTTCCAGACTGGCATAGAAATAGCAAAACAAAAGAAAGAAAGAAAAAAGAAAAAAAAAAAGTAAAAAAACCTAAAGAGGTCAGGTCATGCAAACAAGAATGAAGACGCTGGGTAGCAGCTCAGTGAGCAGCTGAGTTGTGACTCTAGAATATTTGAAACAAGCTTCCATGCCACCTGTCTTTACCCACCCCCCGCCCCAACAAAAAAAAATGAGTACGCTGGAACTCCCCCAACTGAGTTATTTAGATATGATACCAGAAAAAGAAAGGAACTAAGATTGCCTGAGATTGTACCTTCACTAACTCAAAGAATCAAAGCTCAAAATAGAAACCAAGGTGAGTTATAGAAAATAGAGAAGTTACATTTCTTGTACATCAGAGATTGTGGGCTGAGATTTATAATTTGACATGATGAATAGCAATGAAAGGAAATACTACCTACTCCTTTCATTTGTTGAACAAAATTTGTTAGGAAATTTCTGCTCTCCTCCAGGCCTAATGAATGTAGTAGAGTGGGGAATTGAATGAAGAGTTCTTGGCACAGCTTTAGGCTTTTCAGATGTAGAACTCAGTAATAAAAATTATGTATGGAATACTATATATTCATTAATCAATCTTTCTCTGTCTGATTGTAAACTCCTGAAGGAGACAGACTGTTTCCCACAGTGCCTAGTACTGGACTCTAAGCATGGTTTGCCCTCAATAAATATTGTCAGGCACCTTATGGATTGAGGCCACAGTAGAAAAAGAATAAAAAAAAGAGGAACAGTAAGGCAACACATGAGGAAAGTGCTGATTCTAAAATGTACTAACTTACTTCCTTTTCCCACTTGCTACCACAATCCCTATGTTTTTCTATTAGCAAACTTATTTGCCTGACAACATTGTAAAGCTTATTGAAGAGAATTAATAATCTTTCCCTTGAGTTACTAAAGAGCAGAAAATATCAATTCAAGCACTGTGGGATACAAGCTTCAAACATACCAAGGTAGATGAGGTTGGCTTTATAAATAGGGGACTCATTCTAATTTTCATTACTGAAGCTGTACTTAGCACCACCGCTTAGTACTGTTTATAAACTCTTTGATATAGCAAATAGTGGTCTAAAGTCCCTTGGTGGGTTGCCACATGAAGAGAACAAAGAAACTCCTTTAGTGGGCTGAGCCCTGTGTACCATTATCACTTTATCAAAGATGCAGGTTCTCTTTTTGATCCTTGAAGTGATGGGTGAAAAAAAAAAAAAAATGACCCATTAGCACTAATGGGTCCTGCAGGTGAATCCCTGTGCATGTGAAAGACGATATACTTAATGGCCCTGTTTATGAACAAGAGCCTGGATGGGCAACCATTAAAAGCCAAGTTTCCTGTAGATATGAAGCTAGCCTGTTACCTCTTCTTCAAAATGAGTGGCTGATTTTTAATTCATATGCTTTAAGGACCATGTAGGCAATTGATAAGGCAAAGGTTGAATTGGGACACTTTCAGAAAAAGATGTAGAGAACATGTATAATACCAACAACTTAAATGTTGAGGGGGTGATTTTCTAAAAATAATCTCAATAATACACTTATTTTTAGTACTGTATATACACAGGCACTATGTTCCTCTCAAGAGTGTTATCTGTGAATGAACTGGGGTGATATCATGACTATCCATTCCCCAGTAGTTGAGCAGTACTGACTAGGGAACACTGCACAGGCATTTTGGTTTCCTCTGTCTGCAAACCCTGGCTCTGCCACCTACTGGCTCTCTCAATGTAGGCAAGTTAAGTTACATAACTTCTTTGAGAGTCAGATTCTTTATCTGTAAAATGGGGTTGATAATGCCTATCTTGCATGGCCATAAGGATTACAAAGTATGTACATTAAGCATCTAGTATACAGCATGGACTTAGCCCATGATTGATACTGGTATGGCTATGTCAGTATATCTGTAAGGCTATACATCTATGATGTACCTCAATCTATGCTTATTCCACTGAGAAATGCAGAAGAAGGAGAAGTATAGTTTGTCTCCTGTTGCTAGTACAATTGGAGTGACAAGATGTCAATTTTATAAATTTTCCATGCTATTTTTTCTATTGGATTTAGTTGACAGTCATTTGTGTGCTGGAAGTGTGCCTTACACTATTCTAAAAGCAGCTCACAGAGCTCCTTTGACTTAATTTGAAATTCGGTGGCACTGAATCTGGTAATATGGAAAGTTACTTGACAAATATCTTCTAATTTGACACAAAGCAATTAAGAGGACAAACAAAAACAAAAACAAACAAACAAACAAACAAAAACTCTATGAAGCCGAAGGGCCAGGTTGTCAGGTACAGACCAAACATGCCTTAGAAAATCAGAGAAATAACAGGTTTTTGTGGACTTTGGTTGCAAGGTGGGGCAGCATAGAAAAGTTGAGACAAGAAGAAAATATGGGAGACATTACTATTGTAATGATAAAAATGTGGATGCCAGACACAGGGAACAGCACAAATGTACCATGGAGATAAAATTTATATGGCATTTAGGAAAGAGAATAAAAGGCTTGACTGGAAGAAAGGAGTTTTATTTATTCAGTTATGTAAATAATATTGCATAAGTAAAGCCAAAGGAAAGGCCACTATAGAACTTATGACTGCTGGCTGAAAAAAATAAAGACAATGAGAAGTCCAAGGATCAAAGCAAAGCAGGCTAGGAAACTAGGGAGTTTGAAGCAGTAATAATCCGGAGGAGAAATAAAATTGCATTTAACATTGCATATATGGAATT